GGACCATGAGCGAGCTCCCCACCAGGACACAGATGTGCAGGACCCTCCGTGTGATGCCGCGGCTTAGCCGCAGCCCCTCCGACATGTGCTCCCTGCAATGAGGACAGCGACGTCCAGAGAAGCTGTGTTTTGCTATTTCAAGCACCTCACAGACTCCACTTACCTGGTGGAGATAACATTTTGGATGAGCCAGAAAGCCCTGCAGATGAGTTTCCGAGCCAGCCTGCAGCTGGCGTGGCCCTCGGTGACACCGTGAGGCCCCTGAGTCGCCGCCATGGCTCTTGTGTGATGGAGTGTGACTTGAGACCCTGCCCGCACCCAGACAAGCTGGGGGGCCAGGCTGAGTCCCCGTGCTCACGTGGGCGAGGAGCCCTCCTAATGGGACACCGTTGGTCTGGGCTTCTGAACCAGCTATGGGTGGCAGTTCCTGCCTTTGTAGGCTCCACACGCCGTTCCCTAAAGTCCTCATGCCCAGGTGCCATGCCAGCTTGGCGTCCACGTGAGGCTGCCATGGCACTGGGAGGCGGCCCAGGTCTGCAGGGGGCTCCCTGGGCTCACGCTCCTTCCAGGCGTCTCGCCAGACCTGGGGATCTTGGGGGGACGTGTTGGGCAGGGCGGTGACCTATGCATACAAAATGTGTAGCGTCAGTGTCCTTGGGACCCACTGTCCCCCGGGCACCCTTGGGGCCTTCCACCACACACAGGGGCCGTTGTGGGTTGTCTCCCGGTCTCCCACTCCCACTGGATGCTCTCTGCTCCCAATTACCAACCTCGCAGCCCACAGCTGGGGTCCGCACAGCCCGGGCGGGGGGCGATGTGGGCGTACCCTGCCTGCGTGTGCCATTTGCAGGGGCTCCTGGGGGCATAAGCCTCTGTCCTCTCTGCTCTGTGTCCAGCCCTGTGACCAGCCCTGCAGATGGGTCTACTGGATTCATGCCTGACCTCCAGCTGCCAGAGCTTCACAGATAGACGTTCTCCCTGGGGTCCAACCACATCCCTGTGGTGGCACGAGGCGTGGCTGCACACTCTCCATCCCACCTCTGTAGCCCTTGGTTGGCAGGAGCCTGACTGTGCCCGGGGGCCCCTGGAGGGACCTGGTTCCCTTCTCCAGGGTGCCAGAGTGGGGACGTTTATGGCAGGCGAAGGCCTCCCGGCCTATGGGATGGGAGGTGGGGCCTCAGTGGGGCCAGCTTCCGGGGAAGGGGGGCTGGGATGAAGCCTTCGGGGTGCAAGTGCCTGTGGTATGTGCCCCGTGTCCTCGTGGGGCTCTCACCCTGTCCCTGTCCCCACCTTCTGGGCACACGCAGAGCTGGCCTCCGTCCGAGCCAGGGTCCCCCCTCCCCGACCTGTGGGCAGCAGAACGGTCTTTGATCTTGGATCCAACAGGGAAAGTTATAACCCAAAGCTGCCTATTTGATAATAAATCATGGAATAAAGCTTCTCCTTTCACAAGGTGAGAAGGAGGCCCCGGCACGAGCGAGTGGGCAGGGTCAGCGGTCCCCAGAGGCACGAGCGAGTGGGCAGGGTCAGCGGTCCCCAGAGGCACGAGCGAGTGGGCAGGGTCAGCGGTCCCCAGAGG